ACCCCCCACCCCCACTAGGTGATGGAGCTGATAAAAGGGGTCACCTGGTGGTGCCTTGATGTGAAACAAAGACGGTGATATGACGATTAGTTGCTCTGTTGCCCACTGCTCAAACAAATTGCTTCAGTTTTTTTTCCAGCTTTGTCTATTTCTATTTTAATAATCATGTAATTTTTAAATTAACACCACATCATCTCATATTTCACAACTTTACTGTAAAAGGGTTTATTCATTGTATAGGAAATAAACTCAGTTAGTTTGATCTCACATTGTGTGATAAAAAGAAAAACAAATTACCACCAGAAGACAAGAATTACTGGGTTATTATGTTGACTCCATGTCCTGAGAATCAGGCAGCTACAACACTTTGGTACAACCAGCTGAATGACAGTTATTCCATTGTACACTTTGTCTCGATGTGTTTAACTTCACCTGCTGTGCTATATTTGTAAACCTTCAAAATCTACCTGTAGAAACAGTTGAAATTATTTTCACATAAATACAAACTTCAAACAGTGGACCATGAAGGGCTCAGAGTCTTCAGGGTTTCACTCCTGCACAGGTGTTAAATTTATTTTTAGGATGCAAGACTAGAGTAAAAACTGTCAGTGACCAACACATCTTTAACAGGGGCTGAAGAAGACGTCAGAATATTATATTGAAATGGTGTTTCCTTGCTTGGACTGAAAACCTGAAAGACTTAGATGCCGGTCCCACATTATACAATTAAAACTGCATTCATCAAAACATCAGATAACACCAAACAACAAGACACTGTGTGATGTAAATGAAAAGTTTACAAGTTCAATAAATTAATGTATTGTGGCATATGTATTTGTAAAAGTTTCACCTTTGGGATTAGAATATTTCACTGAGTCGCACAAATGTATTTACAATGTCTGTGACACACAATTTACTGCAAATCACACCAAATCAACACCTGAAAAAACAGGTCCCTGTTGTGGTTGTGATACCTGCTACAAGCAGTGTTTAATGTTAGGACGGGCAAGTGTTTTCAGAACAAGTGCATAAACCCCACTTTGCGTGGATCCCTGATCTTCTTTCCAGCAAAGATTTCATGGCCTAAACACACTTGGGAGATGTTTATTCAGCGTTTTTACTTTGACACAAAGGTTTTTTATTTATTAGCTGCATGAACTAAAACATACAGTTAGAACTACAATGTTGCACCTCCTCTGGATTTTAAAATAGCCTGAATTGAGGTACAGACAATCAGGTGGTGGAGTCTAACTTTCCATCAATGAAATGACAAAAGCGTCCAAATCTGAGTGCAGTCCTGTGTGTTTACTGTTGAGGTGATGACCCCCCATTTCCTCTGTGCCTTTACATCACATGGAGCCTCATCTCATGTGTTTTAGAGAAATGTGCTTGTTATCTTCAGTCGTTTTGTGTCACAGGAACAGCAGTAAATGAAAGTTGTAACATCTGCTAGACTCCTGCAGACATTGAGCATCACTTTCATCCAAACATCCACAGTCAACAATGGCTTCTCTTTAGGATTCTGTGAACTTGTTTTCTCCTCTTTAGCTTTTCATTTATTACAGCTCTGTAACAAAATTGGCTCCATTTTTCTGTCTGTTTTTCGTGTGCTTTTTCTATTTTCAATCCACATTGCTGCTTTCTTGTCTTCTTTCTACCCACATGTATCCCAGACAACTCAAGTTTTAGAGTAACAAACATCCTTTGACACATCCTGTGTTAGATTTTCTTGTTGAAGGAATCATTAATTTAACTAATAGCACTTTTGCTGGCTCATTCTTACTTTCATTTAGGTTCAACAACTTGTTAAAGTCTACAAATGTTTTTGCAGATATTTAATTGTAGACATGCAAATTACATTTTTTTTTCTCTACTTGGTCTGATAAATAATTTCGAACAATTTGTGTGTAATCTATACACACACGTCCTGCTGTCAGGCCGGCAGGTATTAGGCATGCTTCAAAGCTTCCTTTCTAACCTTCTTTACTAGAAGATATTCTGGTAAGTAGATGTGGGAATCACCAGAAACCCCACACACATTGCGACATCACAATACGTCACTCACGATACGATATTATTGCAACAGCGTACAAACAAACAAACATTTTGTTAGCATTTAATTGTGACAGCTCTGGGCCATTTTGACCCAGCATCTTCTGTTTCTTGTGTTTTTGTAGTATTCTGTATCATGGTTTAGGTTCTGATTCCTTTTGCATTTGGGTCTAATCTCCTGCCTGCCACACAGCACACATCATGACATTAATAATAAATAAACAGAATCAAATTTCTTGTTTGTATTTTACTTGTATTTTTTGTATTTTCCTTCTGATCTGTACCTGAGCTAAGGTAACGCAAACATTTCCCCATTGTGGGATCAGTAAAGTCTTATCTTATCTTAAACATCTTAGTTTGATAAATGATGACATTAAAAAAGGGATCTTTAGCTACACTGCATGCCGAGGTTTCTAGAAAAACAAGTACAGAAAAATGAAATAAACAGCGAGGATAGTGATGCTGTATGTTGCCATTTCTGTGATTCTCTCTGTGACAGCACCTCCTCCTGGTAGGGTTGCAGCAGTGGAAGCAGCTCCACAAGCTTTAAAACATCCTGGGTAAATATGTGTAGCCTCATGTTTTTAGTACAAACATTCAAATCTAAACAGAAGTTACATTTGAATTAGTTTCACACAATGAAACTAAAAGTTTGAGTTCTAACACAATCACATCTTTCTACATATGAATGATCTCAAAGTTTTTATATGATGATGGTAACTATAGAACACCTTTAAACAATGAAAACCTGAATTACCAAACAAATCATACAAGGAAACACTGCCATTAAAAACATGTGTTTACTCTTTGAAATTCATTCATCGGTTACTACATGAGAGACAACTTCATCTCTCACCCTGCAGACAGGCCTACACGCCCATGTTCAAACTTTGGACCTAAACCTGCTCATAAAAAGATGAACAATTGCGCTTTAATAAACTCATTCAAATATCTGGATTATCAACCTTCATCTTCATCTTATCAACTAGCAGAGGTGTTTGCTCTGGTTTCATTTACAAGAAAAGCAAAACTTAAAGGGAGCTACGACTGTCCTCATACGAACAGCAGCAGCAGACTTACACAGGTTCTCTCATTTCCTGGTGGATTCATTTTTTCGTATTTTCACTCCCATGATTTTACCCTCGTCTCTAATGCAGCATTTATTTTATATTTAAAGATACAGTGAAGTGGGTTTAACATGGAGTGGATTACACTGCACTTAGTCTGCCTTCTCTTAAATTACAAACATACTCATTCACATGAAAAATGATCTATAAGTCTGCAATATTACAGTTTTACACATTTAAAGTCAATTTAAAGTCATTAGTTTAACTTTCTGACACATGGAGAGGTGAGTATCATGAAACCACCTGACAACATAAATAAATAATATTATGGGTTAACAGAAGTGTAATGGCTAAGTGGGGAAAAGACAAAAGGATGAACAAAAAAAACATTGACATGTAGTTGTTGCAGTTTGCTAATGGCTGTAAAATATGCCTCACTTCTTTGTTAAAGAATTATTTCATTTTCTTTATGTTACGTCCCCAGGCTGGTCTGGGGGGTTTGAAGGGACTAACAGAGGTAAATAGTGAAGTAGGAGCCAAGATGGTAATTTTAAAAGGTTTATTTCATGCTAGCATTGAAATTCTGGTTCAGAATGAGGGTTAACTTCAGGGAGAGCCAAGGCCAACATAACAAACAAAACATTCCTGATATGAAAATAAAAGAAACTTACCTAACTCCAAAGAAAACAAAATATACAACCTATAACCATAACCTACCTAACAACACATAAACAGGAGAAAGCAGGGTGTCAAAACAAAAGGCAGCTCTCCCCGACAGGCAGTGTGAACATGAAAACACAAAAGCACATACAAGTCAAGAGGCATGCAAGCCTGCACGGGTACGGCAATCAAAATGGCCAGAGGGCCCAGAAACACAGCTCCACAAGCCTTTAGTAGTGCTTTGCTGATTGACAAATAGCTGGATTCTGTGAGCAGCATCCAATCAGGACAGAGGAGGTGGAGCCTAGACAAAACATAAGGAGTTAGTTGAAAGAAGAAAACCAACATCCTCCTGGGGGATGTAACATTTTGTTTAATTAATCCTCTGAAGAAAAACAACAAAAGAAACAAAAAAGAAAAACAAAGTACAACCACTTATACCTAGAACTACTGGGATATACTAGTTTTAGGTATAAGTTGTAAAAAGTAGTAAAAACTTGTCAGTGATCAACACATCATTACCAGGAGCTGAATAAGTTGTCGGCATATTACACTGAAATGGTGTTTGCTTGCTAGTCTGGGCACTTTATGATTTAATGATTTTCAGAGCCTTTTCTCCCTCTCTTACCTGGCATGGTGAAGATTTAAAGGTGTTATGATCCGAATGAGTGTCTGGTGTTTTTCAGCTTAGTCCCTGTTTTCCTGTGTCCATCCGTGAAGGTTCCACATCTGCATTTTCCACCTGTAACCCATCAACGGCAATCAGCAGGATGACATTTAAGACCAACTCAGCCTTCCATTCATCACCTGTTCATCAGCTACCTCATGGTGGTAACAGGCCTTCATGTGTCATGAATTATCTGCTGGTCATTCCATGTACACCAGCAGCCCTGCTGTGATAATAGGGGCCCTGTGTAAAATACACACATACACCTTTAACTAACCATCCTCTCTGAGATTGATTTGAGGAGGCGTATGTTATTTTTGTGAGATATGTCAAAATGCTCCCAAACTGCTGATGTTTTTTTTGCCTTTTTGGTGGTTCCATGATGTGCTTATCATGTAGTTGCAAACTCATGATGATCATCACCATTGAACAAACAGCTCTTTATTACAGCCCCGATCAGTTTAAGACCACTTGAAAAATGGTAAACCAAAACAAACAAACAAACAAACCATATTTTGCATCATTGGATCTTAACAAGGTTCCAAGTAGACCTTCAACATGCAACGAGAAGAAATGGAAGTGAGCATGCAATTTATTGAAAACAGCGGTAAAACTGAAACAGGCTATTTTTATTATGGTATAACACATTTTCACACACACAGTTCCACAAAAACAATTGTCTAAAAAGGTGGCATTTTTGGTCAAAAAAAGTAAACTTTTTGGCGTCAAATGACAACAGCACACCATTATGACTTATTACTCCATCATTTTAATCTCAAACATCATATTCATCTTCCTACTCAATCACCATATATTTATGATCATATTTTTGGGGGCATATGATTATTGATTATTATTGAATTATGATATATCAGAATTTATGATGTTCATAAAATGCCATTAACCTTTATTACTTCCTCAGTTATAAATCATGTGACTGTTTAACTGGTAGGCGATGCAGAGATGATCACTGAAAAGGTCGGCACAAAGGACCCATTGAACGATCATGCAGTGTAAAACCACGAAACAAATTGAATTAAAAAACACTTTTTGTGAGGCATTTCAACTCTCTAACAAGAGGATACCTAAGTTTCAATTTCTTGCTTAGTTTCTATTACTGCAGTTTCTTTTTTTAGTAGTGCCTAATCCCATCTATGTGTACAGTCAAAATAGACACGCCCAGGATCACAAAAACGAGAGTAGCCAAAGCAGTTGTTTCTGCAGCACAAACCCACATCTGCATTTGGTCCAGGAAGCGGGGTGTTAAACTCTGCTGATCAGATTAGGTAAGTACATCTGTAATGTCAGCATATATGCGTATTCGTATTCACTATCGGTGGGTTAAAAAATTATTTCCTGATTCAAAATGATTTTAGTTTTAATAATGCGATCGCGATTCATTAAATCCTTTAAATATAAATGTATTTTGCCAGAAACGCTAGAATCTCAGGTTAAAGGTCAGAAAACAGCTAAAACAGCAAACTTAATGAAAGATTAAAGAGCAGGTAAACGGATTCCGCAAAAAGATGTCAACAAAAAGCGCGGACCATCCCGTTCACCCAATGGCACGTACGCGGACATGCCGTTGGGTGCTGAAAGCGGACATCTCACAGACTGGAAAATAACTTTCTGTCCACCATTTTTGTGACTAACAGTCTCGCTTCTGGATGACTGTTGTTGTAATTTGGTAATGTATAGATAAAACTGAATTGAAACTTCTGCTTACTAAGTGGTCCTCTCATGGGCAGTGTGCAATCACACAAAAGAACAACTAAAATTTCACCATAATTGTTACTGGAGAAAAGGCAGTTTGGAAATTTAAATGATGAAAAAATTGTATAAAATAAATAATTTTTAAAATTTCACAGTGTGAAAAAAAAATTACAACATACTAATAAATGTATAAAACCACGAAACAAATTGAATGAAAACACTTCTTGTTAAGCATTTCAACTCTAACAAGAGAATAACAAGAGTTTCAATTTCTTGCTTAGTTTCTATTACTGCACTTCCATTTGTAGTCCTATCTATGCATGCAGTCAAAAAAGACACACCCAGGATCACAAACACAGGAGTGGCTAAAGCAGTGCTTTGTGCAGCACAAACCCACAACTGCACAAATCTCAAAAAACTATTTTAACATTTGCCAAACAGCTTAAACAGCAAACTTAATTAAAGAGTAAAGAGCAGGTAAATGGTTCAAAGATCAAAACTACACTTCACATTTGAAAAACAACGTCATTAATTCCCTCTTACTTTTGCTATTTTCCTTCCACCATGATAAAATCACACTTCCTGCTCAGCTCTTTCTCTCTCAGTGTACTTCAAGAACAGTTTCCCATCAAAAACCTCAATTTGTTTGCATTATTCACTTGCTTATTAAGCACCAGTCTACCATTGTTCACAGCACTGTTGGCAGCTGTTTGTTTTTTTTCCCCAAAATGACCTATGAAAAAAAGCCTAATTTCTGTTGTTCAATACAGAAGAAATGTAAACTTTTGCAAATTATGCCATATTGCAAAACGCTTAGCTGTGTCTCTAATAAAACCTCTGTAACTTTGCTCTGCTTCACTTCAGCAGTATCAGGTAATGTTCATATGTTTATTCATGGTTTTCTTCAGTTTTTGAGCTACTGCTGAATAATCATAAGGTGATTATCTGCTCTAAATCCATTACTGGAGAAAGCGATTTTTTGAACTTAACCTGTATAATATCATTTGATGCATGAACAGAGAAACTGATCATTTATGAGGAAACATGCTCAGGTGGATGGGTGGATCTGGCAGACTAGTATATATTCAAGTAAATGATTAACACATTGAACCGAATAACAGTGTTCAGAAATTCAGACATAATTTATTCTTTTAGCACTGTTCAAACTGGATTGTTTAAATGAATTATCTCATCTAAGTACTTACTTGAAAATCACTGCATTGGATACAAGACCATGTGTACTGAAGGAAAAATAATTGCATTCATATGAAGGAAATTAATTTATTCCAGTACAGTAACAGACACCATGTGCTATTTATCCTTTATGCTTGTCTGAGACCATTAAAAACCTCACAACAACTACATAATCTAGCAAACAGTTTAATTTATGGTCAATAAAACTGAAGACCTACACCAATCAGGTATCGCATTATGACAACCCGCCTAATATTCTGTTGGTCCCCCTTTTGCTTCCAAAACACCCCTGACCTATAGAGGCATGGACTCCAGTAGACCCCTCAAGGTGTGCTGTGGTATCTGGGACCAAGACCAAGAATTAACAACAGATTCTTTAAGTCCTGCACGTTTAAGGTTGGGGCTTTATTGATTGTACTTGTTTGTTCAACATATCCCACAGATACTAGTCTATGGGAATTTTGGAGGCCAAGCCAACATAAACTCATTGCTGTGCTCCTCGAACCATTCCTGAACCATTTCTGTGGCAGAGCACATTATACTGCTGAAAGAGGCAACAACCATGAGAAAACTCCTGTTCCTATGAAAGAGTGAACATGGTCTACAAAAATGCTTAGGTAGGTGTATATTGGTGCCAGGTGTTCCCCAGGTAAGTGACATGCCCACCCATACACGTGGTGTAAAAGAAAATGTGATTTATTAGACCAGGTCATCTTCTTCCATTAATCCATGGTTAGTTCTGATGCTTACATGCACATTGTTGGCACTTTCTCTGTGGTGAACAGGAGTCAGTATGGGCACTGTGAAATGCACTTCACACACGTACACACCCACACAGTTCTTTAATGCCAGATGCCACGTTTATTTTTAGTTTTCATTTGTTGTGACAGGCCGTAGTCTGGACAGCTCTCTGATCCCAGCTTCCCCTCAGCTCCTCCCCCTTCTCACTAAAAAGGGGAAGGAGACTGTCATCAGCCCAAACGCCATGAGCTGTTCTTACCTGCCTCTCCAGCACCACCCCGTTGAGCTCACTGCACCACTCCTCCCCTGCAGTCGCGCCCGGGACCACACCTCCGCCACAGGCACCCTGACAGGTCTGTGGCTATGTAGCTTCATATGCAACAAACTGAAGCACTGTGTATTCTGACATCCTATCAGAAATAGCGTGAACTTTTTAGCAATCTTACCTACAGTAGTTTGTCTATTCGTCTTGCCAAATGGACCAGCCTTCACTGCCAACATGTACTGGTGAGCCTTGGCCACCCATTACCCTGACCCGTTATGCCTGATCTGTGTATATCAACAAAACTGATTTTTTAATAAATGTAATTTTCAAACATTTTATTTTCAAAACTGAGAGCATGCTGACTTTATCGCCAGCAGAAATACTGAAAGAGGGATGATCAACTATACTGGTGTTCTATAGTCTTGTGAATGTGGTAAGTGTAATCTTCTACTGCACCTGTGCAATTCAAATTATTAGAAAATACAACGTAGTAAATATTAAACTTAATGTTTTTGCTATTCATAGAAACAATCAAAAATGGAAAGCAGCAGCTCAGAAATTGGTGAGTATGAAATGTATATCACAAGACCAGGTTAGAAATAAAGGCCTGATATAGGTAGAAAAGGATAGTTAAATTCCTTCTAACAGTTATGTTCCAATCTGTAACCACAGAATAACAAGAAACATATTTGTTCATTTCATATTTGGGAAATTCTTTATACACACACACACACACACACACACACACACACACACACACACACACACACACACACACACACACACACTTTTTATTTGTATAGCACATTTAAAACCAGAGGTAGCCAAAGTGCTTCACATAATCCAAAAAAACAGTAGTAAAGTACAAAAGCAGATGAGCTAGCAGGTGGGATGCATTGATTAACCATGCATACAAGTATACAAGTAAGCAAGACTTAACCATAGAAAACAATAAAACAATATAAGCAAAAGAGAGGAAAGGGGAGGGCAAGAAAGTACACTTAAAAGGCATGCTCTAGGAGGCCGGGAAGGCTAAGCTAAAAAGGTTTTCAATCGAGACAAAATTCAATCGAGAATTTTGGTCATCAGATTGTTAGATTGTTGTCTTAAAGAAGACAAACAGGAATGAGTCCAATAATCTCCACTTAAAGACTTGACTTCTGAAATGCTCCTACTGTATCGTGATGCTGTGCAAAAGATAGAACAAAACAGTGTTAAAGGCACAGTTTCACATTCTCAGGGCGATCCAGAGCAGAGCACTGCTTCTTAAATGTGCTGCATTGCATCTGGTAGATTTGCAATCACAGTTTTGAGTGTGTGCGATCAATTCAGGCAGTCACATTTAAATGCTGGCAGTCAGTATGTGAAATTGGTCGCAAAGAGGCATGTGATTCTACACTTCCTTTCAATTCCTTTAATTACTAGCAAGCTGGTGCGGTCATTCGTAGTTTGCATGAAAGATGTCAGCTTGTCTGCAAACAGTCGCAAACTTCTTGCTGAACAGCAGTAAAACTGTGAAAGTGTAAGCAGAGAATATTATCTTGAAAGTAAAAGCTGTGCTCTGAACCTTTCACGGGTGGTGGTATGTTGTTCAAGTAGAGGGCAAACAAGAGAAAAACACCCAGGTGCAATTACACATCTGATATGGGTTTCAAGATTAGTCATATCAGCAGAGTGCCATGTTCCACTCTGAATATAGAATAGGTGAGTGTTGAAAAAGACTGTTCCTTTTCTGGCTTTAGTCTCACAATAGCGTGGAGAAATTTCTCCGGCACCTCGTTCAATTTTGGGAAGCATGATATTATTAAGAGCTTGCTTGCTTGTCTGAATACCTAATTATTTACAGACTGATGATGTTGTGGGCCTATCTACATTTTAACATTGTAAAGATTCCTTCAGTGCAGTTTTTTTTTAGTGGATTGCTGGATCTATGATACAAATTAGCATGGCATTTCTTTCTGTTAATAGAATAAGGTAGTTTTGCTAATCACTGTTGAGTGTAATGCATTCATAAGTAATGTATTACTATCAGATTGTACTATATAGTACAATCTCGCAGCCCATGTAACCTCTACTTGCAGCCCGCATAATGACGTGAAGAAATATTTTTAAAAATTATTCACAAAAAAGATTTAAAATGAAGGCAATAGGCAGAGTGTTTCAGGCATAGCCCTAAAGAAAGTAGCCTCATGGGCTGGGCAGTGCAGTCCGTGCTGCAGGGAGAATGGACTGCCATTTTGTGTCTGTGAGCGCAAGGGAGGGAGAAAAAAAAGTTAAAAAAAAATACAAGTTGTCACCAAGTAGAAACGGGAGCTGGAAGCATGTAAATATAATAATAACCACTGCAGCCAAAAAGTGTGCCTGACGAGCCCAGTTGTAAGTAAGCTATTAAGACTCGACTGTACACTGTGTTCGTGTTTTCCTCCGAAACAATAAGTTCCGTTGGAGCAGCCTTTCAACGCCTCTCTCTGTCTCTCACTAGCAAAGTTGACCCACACAACAAAGTAAAGCTAGTTTTCGGCTACGAGCCCGACACGAACCCGATGTATTAGCCAGAGGTTCCTTTACGGTTTTATGCCTTTAAGGTTCGGAGCCGCGGACCAGTTTTATATATGAGATCGCTACAAAAAGTGCAGCCTTACCTAATGTTGTTATAAAACGGCTGTGTGCAGGCAGGAAAAGAACCCAAAGTGCAGACTCCGGAGACAGACGTGAACTCAAAAAAACAGCTTTAATGCTGAACTCAAAGTAACAAACCTCCAAAGTACAAACAATAACGCAGGCAGGGAAACCCAAAACACACAAAGCATAAGTGAGGGTAGATAAGAGTAGATCGCAACAATGACAAACTGAAACACAGGGCTTAAATACATAGAGGGAGCAATCAGGGAATGGACAACAGGAGGGAAACACAGCTGGGGCAAATCAGAACTGACGAGACAAGGAAGCGTAAACTGAACACACTGAGATAAGACGGAGACCTTCAAAGTAAAACAGGAAACACATAACACAGACTGAACAAAAGACACAGACTCACATGCAGGCACTACAACAGAGGGAACAGAGACGTGGGACCAGGGCAGACACAGACACTGACTGGACACGGGGATATAGTGGACAGGGGAGACAGCAACTAAGGATTAAACAGAGACAAACCATAAGACATGACTCTAACAAAAACCCAAAGACTAGAAATTATAAATAATATAATAAACTCAAAAACCCTGGGTCAACGACCCAGGCATCCTAACAAATGTCCACCCTACTGTTACTCATTTTATATTAAGATTTAAAAATATAGTCGGTATTGGTATGGCAAGTAACCTTCAGCAAAAGTAATAAATCGCACAGCAATAGTACATTCATGTAGTTGTAAAAAGCACGACAATTTATTAAGTAATCCAAAGTATTCAGAATATGTTACTCTCATTGAGTAATGTAACGGAATACGTTACAAAATACATTTTGGGGCATGTATTCTGTTATCTGTAGTGGAATACATTTTAAAAGTAACCTTCCCAACACTGCAGATATAATAGTTAATTGCGTTACAAGGGCTCTTTAGTTATCTGTACAGAAAGAAAACATTTTTTTACCTGTGCACTTGTTACAATCAGCTGATGTTAGTTTGCAAGTAAGTGGGAGGAAAATGTTTGCGTGGTCTACAACCTTTTACGAGTGGAGATATGAATATTACTCTTATTTTTATTGCACAAATGAAAAAGAGAATAGAGGTAAAGTGCAAATTGTATTCAAGACAAAAACAACTGCCAACACATGTGAAGCTCTTTACAAACATCTGCACAGACAACATGCTGGTATAAAGCTAGCCAAGAAAAGAGAGTGATATTAAAGCTGAGTGTATGTACAAAATGTGAGTCTGTATCCTACGAATTTATGTTGTTGACTGACAATTATGTGACAAAGTATTTATACGTACAGTAATACAGTCCATAGGTAATCGACTGTATTACTTTTAAAATTATTTTAAATTCCATCATCAATATATGATATATTACTTTTTTGAATAATAACCTCAACCCTGCCAACAATAAGTAATAAAAAATAATCATCACTGATTGATGTTATTCTATTTTTCAGATTTCTTAAGAATGAGCACAATGCTATTATCTAAATCTATTATATGTAAAAAAAATAAAAAAAATTCTACCAACCACATTTAAAGCTTAGTATAGTATAACATTATTTCAAATTGTTTTACAAGAAGACACTGATGGGAGTAATCATTATAACCTTTATTATTTTATGATTAACCTATATTTAACTAACTTAATTTAAATAACACAACTGATTTTAAAATTTTGTTTCAGAGTGGCGTGAGCTTCCATATGACAGCTGGACAGAATCTCATGTTAGTTCCTGGCTGAAATCCATTGGAATAAAAGAATTGTACATAGGAAAAATGATGGAGGAGGAAGTGACAGGACCAGTTCTCACAACTGTAGACCGGGATTTCCTCAACAAAACAATTGGAATGAAAAGTGGCCAAATTGAACACCTACTGAAGAAACGAGATGAACTTTTAATACCGGAACAGCAGAAAATAAAAAAGACAAGCGATTCATCTGGCAAGAGTAGAGATGGCAAAAAGGAAGCTGTTAAAGATGTAGAACAAGAACCAAAGCTTTCATCACAAGAACTATGTGACGGAGCAAAGGATAAAAATATTCCTACAGAGAGCAATGATAACATATCCACTACAGAAGTGGTTTCCTGTGACTATCGTAAATTTGACCAGGATGAAAAGGACTTCAGGTACGTGAAACATCATGTGCTTCCTCCTGAGACAGGGACTGAAAACATGATGGTTCCATGCCATGAATATAAGTCGCTTGAGATTGCATACAAACTAGACTCAAAGAGGTTACAAGTAAAAGTAGCCAGTGAAGTGTTAAGATTTGCATGCGCATGCATGAATATGAGAGCAAATGGGACAATTCACTTTGGCATCATGGATAAAGTCAAAGGAACTCACAAACATGGAGAAATCATCGGGATACCTGCAAACAATCGAGAAGACTTTGTGGATGCATTAGACTACATTGAAAGGTGCTTCAAAGGGTCAAATCAACAAAGTGATGCCAGGAGTTGTATAAGGCACCCGCGATTCATTGAGGTGCTTGACAAGGAAAGTAGTGGGAACACATGGGTCATTGAATATGACATTGTCCCAAAAGCAAGCATTGTAAAAGATAAGCTTTACTATGTTGGTGTTCCTAAATTCTCTGAAAAAGACAACAAAGTCAAATGTGAAGAGAAAATTCCCTATTACAGAGTTGGAGCAAACACACCACGTGTACCTGAAGACGACCTTGTTCCTTTCATTCAAGGACTGAGAGAAAAAGACCAACAGAGAGAGGAGGCAGAATCTACAAGCAATGAAACAACTCTGGACTTTGGCGAGGATCAAAAGAGGAAACTTGCTATCCTCCTAACATGTGGGAAAAAGCACATGGACAACTCTCTGTTTTACATTGTTGTAACAAACAAATTTCAACCAGCGCATCTTGACAACATAAGCTTCTTAGTTCACATGAATTTATTCTGTGTGTTTGACTTTGACCCAGATTCAAAAACATCTGGTCTTTGTGGAAAATACAAGAAACAGAAAGCAGTAAACCTTCACTTTTTTGATGACTATGCAAAAGACAAGAGAATTGATGACATCAAAAAGTCTTTACAACTTCCTGAGAGAATAAGTTGGATTTTCTGCAATGGAAGAAACAACTTCCCAGGTGGAGAACAACCCTGTGATGGGAAAACTTGGATCAAAACAAGAAAAAGGAAACTGAAAAAAGCAGTGTCACTCATCTGCAATGACATCCTTTCCAGACGTTCATTTGTTGTCCTTTTCCTGCTCATGTCCGATGTTGAACAGCCACTTGTTGAGACTTTCCATGAATTCTACTCAGAAATGAGCGGACATGAATTTTTGGCAGTCATATCAGAGTCAAAGGAAAACTACAAGAAGTGGTCAAGTCTTGCCCAGGTGTCTTGCCCGATTTCTGATCTCAAAGAAATCAGCATTGTTGAAATGCCACTGAGTCACGTGGATGCCACAGTTCAAAGCATTCAACTATTGAAAAATCAATCCACAAGGACATTACCAGTCCCAAATGGAGGCCTGTGCTTCCTAAAGTCAGTTGAAGAGGCTATGCTAGATTCTTTGGAAATCATCAGTGTTGATCAGTGCAATGATACAAAACTAGAGATCATGAGTGAGGAGGAAATCCAACAAACTGAGAGCTACTTCTATCGAGGTGGAAAGATCAACTGGATCAACTTCTGGCTTGCTGATAAACACAAGTGTGGGGTGATTATAGAGAGGGATGCCTACAAAGAAGCAAATAACATTCTAGAAAATATAGTACATCGTCCCAAAGCCATACGCCCCATAGAGAGTGTGAACATATACCATCATCCAGGTAGTGGTGGAAGTACAGTAGCACGGCAGATCCTTTGGAGGTGGAGAAATAAAGTGCGATGTGCAGTTGTTAAGCAGGGTAAGGAAATCACAACTGTGTGTGAACATGCAGTGAAACTGAGGGAACATGATGAAAACGACAAAAATATCTGTCTCCCAGTGCTCCTCCTGCTAGAGGACCACAATCCAGATTACATCAATGACCTCAGAGGGCACCTTGGAAATGTTATTGCAACTAAAAAGATAAGTTCCTCTGTGTTGTGCTTTATCCTGCTCATCTGCAACCGGTCAAACGATCCAGAAAGTATGTGCAGAGCATCATTATCTCAAACAGTAGCAGTCACTCACAAGCTGTCTGCAGAAGAGAAGCCCTTGTTCTCAAAAAAGCTTGAGCAACTCAAAATGCAATTTGAACCTGACTTCATCCTCACATTCGTACTGATGACTGAAGGGTACGAGCGAAGCTACATTAAAGACTTTGTAAAAAATCTTCTAGATAAAATCGATCATTCAACACCCACAACTCGTCTCATCAGATTCGTGGCTCTCTTGAATTGCTACGTAAAAGATTCGTACATATCTGTGTCACACTGTGAAGCATTACTCGGCATTGCAACATATATGGATAGAACTCAGTACCATGCCTTTGTGGATCATCTAAGTGATGAAGCCAGGCTCATTTTCATCCACCTTAACCAAAGTTCAACACACATCCCATCGATACGAATTATTCATCCACTGGTGGCAAAAGAAATTCTGAGTCAGCTGTCTGCTAATTTGCCTCAGAGTGATATTGCCATGGATCTCATCAGTGATAAGGTACTGATCAATCACAGGTTTGACAGAGATGAATTTCTGAGGTTTATCAGAGCTCTTTTCATTAGACGCAACAAGAAGAGCAGAGGAGATCCTAAAGACACAACTTTTTCACCCCTTATTGAGCATGTCCGTGATGTTGATAAAGGGGGTGTTCAGAAAGCTGTTGATCTTATGAAAGCTGCTTACATAGCTTTAGGAAAAGATGCATGTGTAGCACAACAGCTTGCTCGGCTGCTTTACACTCATAATAGATTTGAAGAGGCTCTTGAATGGGCCAAAGAAGCAAAATCTCTTGCACCACATGATACATTTATCCTTGACACACTGGGACAAGTGTATAAGTGGTGGTTTTATCACTTGTATGATACCCTTGAAGAAAAAGAGCCATCCCCTGAAACGGGAATTGAAATCATAAGCACAGCAGTCAAAGGAATCTCTGCCTTTCGGGCTTCTGAAAAAACACCTAAAAAAGAGACTGTCAACCTTAACAATTCATACTATGGGGAAGTAGATGTTGGCTGCAGGCTCCTAAAATTCCTGTCAGGAGTAGATGTTTTTTCAAACACTACTGGAAAATCAAAGCTGATGAAGTACCTGCTGAGAGACTACATACCAGCAGAGGTCAAAACACCCTGGCAGAAGTTTCATCAACAGTTGAAAGGCTTACAGAGGAGCTTGAGCCAAGCACTTGAGTGCATTTCTGAGGAACTCAGCTATTTTCAAACTGACATTAGTGAAGAGGATGAAGAGCTTGATGCAAGAGATCCAGAGCAAGTGCACAATCCAAGAGAGTGGCTGACAAGAAAGAGTGCTGTATATGCTGAATTTTTTTGTCTTACACCAGATGAGAGTGATCAAGCAACAGAAAGCAATGACATTGACATGGCTGGTCCGGTTGAAAAGCTTTCTCCATTCCAAAGACAGATGAGGGCCTACAAGCTTGGTGGAGGAAATGTTACATCTATCATCTCACTACTTTATGACAAGAAACCAGAGAGGGCAGGAAAAAAACTTGAGAAAATCTTTAGCCTGTACCCAGAAAACCTGATGTGGAATGATCTTGATCCAACAGAACTCACAAACTTCATCTTTTGTCAGATAGCTCTCAACTGTATTCTACCTGGTTCCTCAAAGCTTCTGTCTCTGCAAAAGCTACAAAAATTCAGCAAGAGATTTGTGACAAAAGGGAAACACATGTCATCAGCAAGCGCTCTGTTCCTTCTCTCCCTTCTGTTTTGGCCTGAGACAAGTGATGAAGTAAGTTCTGATGGTGCTCAGACCCTTTTCTCAGCCATCGATGCCCTTCAGAGACTTTGTGAGCAAAAGATCCAACAAAGGTCTCAGAGGAAAAGCAGGATTGTGACACACTTCTTTCTGGCAAAGGCAAGAGGTCTTAACAAGATTGTTCACAGAAGTGCTATTGAAAAGGAGATTAAAGGCACTCTAAGTGAAAGAAAACTAAAATGGCTGGGAGGAGAAGTATGGAAAACAAAACAAGTTGTGCAACTTCTCAAACGGGTTGAAGGGTGGACAGAAAATGAAACCTTGTTTGTGAGATGTGGAAGCAGTGGCAAGATCAGAGTAGTTCCTCGGTATAGTGCCTCCCTGCCTCACGGAAACGAAAAAGTCAACTTCTACTTGGGCTTTTCATTTGATGGTGTAGTTGCCTGTGACATCCAAGTGATGGACTAATGTCTTCAGTGTAAATCTCCAATAAGTAATAAGTAATAGTAAATGTAGTTCACATGACCTTGACCTATAAAGAGTTACAGAGACCATTTGTTGATTTTACAAATTTAATAAGGCCAGTGTGAAACATGAGTTATTTCTTTCTGAGTTTGTTATTGTTTCAGTTCCAAATACCTTTTTTTTGCATGTACCACTGATCTTTATAATTATGACAACTGTAACACATATTAATGCAGCATTGTGTGCATATAACTCCTTACTGGGATGGATATATGGAGTTAAACTTGTACTGTTCCAACAGTAGTTCAGATCGGTAATTACATATGATTCACGTTTGTGTTGACTTGTCTGTACTGAATACCAATGTTGTTTCTTTACTTGTAAAATTGTGATGTTGTATTTGCTCACAAAAATGTCTTGAAAAAGAGTTTTTAATCCTAATTACATTTTACTTGGATAAATAAAGGATAACAAAAATAAAAAGAAGAATGTTCAAAAAGTCAGAGTTTAAAAAAAACATGCAAAAAAAGAATAAGAATCACTGTAAATAATTTCTGAAACTATTTTTTAACAGCGTTTACATTTGGAAAAATGTTAAACATTGTGTTTTTCTGTTGTTAGCATATTTTTTTTAAATGATCTTTGAATGGTGAAACAAAGTGTGCCTCATTTCTAGAAAAAAAAAAGGATATTCTTGAGAGACTGCAAATGTGTTCTGAGATAATTTTAATGTGGGACAATACAGTTCTTGTACAGACGTTCATGTAAATACAGACTGCTTTCCCACAAGCATTGCTTTTGTTTGATGATAGTACTTTCTTAACTTACTGTTTGTATTCATTTTGTGTTTGTATCATGAAATGTAGAAATGTTATTTGCATTTACATTTATTTAGTGAAAACCTCAGTGTTCAACATCCAGTGCAGAAAAAATAAAAGTTAAATAAAGTTAAATACATCAGAAGTTATGAATTGGTTTATTTAAATTGAGACATTTTACATTGAAAGTTTTAGGTTGAAAACTGAAGCAAAGTACATTATTTCATAAATATGAGCCAATTAATTTTCTTTCATGGAATGGTATACTTCAAGAAGTAAACAGTTTACAGAATTAAAAATAATAAGACTATACTTACCAATAACGTCTGCCTGAATGACATCTGTATATTGCTGAAATCATTTTCAAATGCTCACTAGCATTTATTAGTAGTAGTGAAAAACAATTGCAGCACACCAATATAAAATTCCTTTCAGATTTATGAAGGATGCAGTTTTTTCAGACGATTGTGTCAGACATAAAAAAAAAATGCCATACCAAATACAATTTGACGAACATCATCAATCAATTATAGTTGTGGTACTTACTGCTTTAACTAACCCATTACTGGCAGAGATTCTCCTTTAAGTAAATAGTTCAATTCAAATGATCAAATGAGGAAAGCTAATAAAACAAACAGGATTAAGTAGTAAAGCCATTTTAAAGCCATGTGAAAAGCAGTTTGTTCATTCAAACATCCTGCCACACATTTTAACTGCAAATGGTGATGCTACTGTAGAACCTTTAGGCCTTGAACATGCCTTTAATAGTCCGTATAATAGTAAAACACATTTGAAAGCTCTATACTTTAAAGACTTTTCAGATGGTCTCACCCACAGAGATCTTCACTGGTCTAAAGATTTCAGAGAAAACTTCTGCCAAGAAGTAATTATCAATTTTAAGTTGGTTAAAAATGAAACTCAAGTTTCATTTTAAAACTTTTTTCTTCTGTGCCTGGCTGTGATGCCATTCTTTGTCAAGAAAGCTGAGGGTGGTTTCCCTCTCTTGCTGATGGAAGCAGCATGGACTGCTTTTATTTTAAAAGCAGCAATGGCGATTTCCCTTTTGAACTATAGTGGCAATTGCTTGTTCCATGGTTATGGCTGCACAGGAATACTCATTCTCATAGGTCATTTACTACAGATCCACTTTGTACAACACTTCCACCATGATCAGCTGCCTGATCACATGTGGTTTTCTCTGATCTATTCCACATTATTACACAAAATGTTCAAAAACCCAGGACATGATAACAGAATCAGGATAGTAATACTGAGACTGAGTTTAGTATCCAGGCTTAGGGTTCAGGCAGACTAGCGAAGAGCTTGACCAGTAAATGGAGGACAGGGTAGATAGTTTAATGACAAACAATGAAATATTGTTTACGTTTGTTAACATGTTTAAAGAAAAAGATGCCTAAATACAAGAACACAAACAAGGACCTTCACCAAACTTGCTGCAAGTTTGGGGACAATGATATCCAACAGCATGTAAGCTGTGAGGGCCCCTGATAATGAATGAGAAGACAGAAAACAGTGAGACTTGCCTCTGGCTGAAACAGGGCTACACTGAGACAGGGCCTCAGCCAGTTCCCCACAATGGCATTGCTACAGGGAGAAGAAAAATCTGGGTTTTAGCACTACAGCCTTTAATGATCTGGATGCTATGCACCTGTACAATGCTTTCTATCAGTGACATGTACAGAGCATCAGTAAAAGACTGCCTATAGATAAAAGACAATATTTACAAGCATTTTGCATTTCATATACAAGATATCAATGTTTACTGTTCACCTTCATAATAACAGAAGAGCAGTCACAATGCAGTTTATACCAGGAGTACAAACCTGTTGTGACGTCTCAGCCCAGCAACATCCCACAAAAAAATCTAACATTTCATTACAATACAGTTTCACAGTCATACATATACTAATAAATACCTCCTTTATTTAGAGTTAAGGGAGTAATTGTTCATACAAATATCAACACAAAGACAGAGTTAGAGCATGAACAGGTAGTAGAAGCCCTCACCAAACAAAGTTGGGGACACAAGTCCAACAGCACTACGTGCTGTGAAGGCCTCACCGTTTAGCTTAGAACAGAAAGGTATTTACATCAAACTTGCCTTGATAAAGGGTGGGTACTGCCCATGTAACTCCAGCGCCTTCACAACACTACGAACCATATCTACTACACTTCTATACACCTAAACATGAAAAGGAAAAAAAGCCACAAAACAGAGATGGTTTCAATCAGAATCAAATCAAACAGGTCTTTGATAGATGCAATGTAATATTTCCCATGCCATGGGATGTTTACAGCTCCTGTCTTTGCTGTTTATTTAATGTCTCTTCCTCATAGCTCAGTAGCAGAAAATCAGTATACTTTGGTAATATAATACCAATACTGGTTTCTCTACTAGCCGCTGAGGGCATTAGAAAAGGGTTGAGAGTCCAAACCTATTGAAGAGAGGGAGCAGACTTCAGTAGTGGCCTCCAGGAGACATGACAGGGGGTCTCGTGACAATGGTTGGCCGTGGAGGGCCTCCCTGGTACACTGGGGGAACAACAGGAGGGGCCTGAATATACGGAGGTATTCGCCCAGGTATGTAGCCTGGCATCCCCTGCTGTGGCCCACCATACTGACCTGCAAGGACCAGGCTCATTGGTAAAAACATAATTTTTACTGCAGCCCTTTTAAGACTCTACAAACATTATCTATAGAGCACTTTCTAAAACAATTAAACTGAACTAGAGTTGAAACATTTCAAGACTGCAAAAAAATGAAGCCAATTAAATTAAATTATTTGGTTTACAGTTGGTCTAAAACTACCAGCAGTGTATACCAGGTATGGGATGCCTCATGCTGTGCTGCTGAGGAGCCATCATGCCACCCACTGACGCTGCAGCACTGGTGGTCTGGCCTTGACGAGGAATACTGCACTGGTACTGGGACAACTGAGCCCGAAACTCTTCCTACGGCACAAAAAAAGCAAATAAAAGTGATTTGACACTTGACATGTGTAGCTCAGCTGGGAAGAAAAAAACAAAAAGATTTGTTTTAAATAACAAACACATTGCATAACTACTTACTTTAACAAGAGTGTTCCAGCTAGAATACTTACCAGTGAGATATCCTCATCAGGGTGGATCAACTTACTGGTTGCACTGGAGGTGGTGAGCGTGGCAGGCTTACTGGTTACTGTGGAGGGAGGTTTGGAGACCGTACTGCTGCCAGCATTTGGGCTGGCCAAACCGGTGGAGGACTGAGTGTAGGCTGGGAAAGTGGGCTTTGCGAGGTCGGAGGTGGTGGAGGGGGGAGTGTGAGGGGACCCCGACACTGTCTGCTGACTCTGAGGGAAGAGACAGGAAAGCAGGGTAGAGACACTCAGCAGAAAGACCTTTGAATTTCACAGGGGGGTCAATTTTAGTCAAACTCCAAGATTACTCCAATGATATCGATTATTTGGTCCTTTTTAGCCTTGGCATTCATAACGTTCATGAGCAGGAATAAAATGCATTTGTCTGGAACAGCTATAGACAAAAAGTTTAATACTTTGATCTCTTCCTTGTATCCGTAATAGATGACAATCAAAAAGTGTTTCTTTCATGTGTTCTTTTTTAAAATGAGAATTTATGACCCTAGATTTTTTTATACTCACTAAACTGTAAATTTACATTTTAAAATTTAAAACACCAAAACAAAACCTTACAGGACAAATTTTGTGAAGCAGCACAAATATCTAATTCATCTGACTAAACAAGCTTTTACCATATTAATGCCAAGCCTATAAGATGGATCTGTAACATTTTACTCCACCATTGTAACATGATAAAAAATCTTTCAAAGTTTGACTAAAATAAAACCAGTTTCTTTAGATCTGCAGAAAAACGAAAAAAAAAAAACGAATAAAGTGCTGAGCATGCTGTCATATTTTGCCCAACAACAGAAGCCCATATATTATACATATCCGCATAATTCTTCACTTTAACATTTGATTTTAAGGTGATGAAGCTATTTTTAATATTGAGTGAATGCAGATAAATTAAAAAGCAAATTAAAAAAATAGCTAAACATTTTAATTAAGAAAAAAAGAAGAAAAAACAGCTTTGCAAATGAAAGAGATTCAACCTGCCCGCCACAAGCAAACTATACACAGTTGTGTGCATGCCAGCTGTAAAGCAGCAGGTTGTCAGAGTAAAGAGGGCAGACAGCCTCATACTTGTGAAGTGCTAGGGAACAGAGCTTTAGGGGAAGCGGACTGAGTGTCTGCGCTTGGTGAGGCTTTACTTGTACTTGCAACTTGACCGGCCATCTGTAGCACAGGAAAAAAGTAAAGAAAAGTAAACAGAAAAGTCTTTCAATTAAAAGAATTCCTGGGTAAAGTCTCCTTTTTTAATCAACCCGTGCAAGCTTAGACATCTCTTACTGAAGAAAACTGTAATGTCCTGTCAGAATGCTGAGAGGAGGTGAAAACTGTGCAGCGATAAAAAGGCGTCAAGGGTTTTACCTGCCCAGCACTCGGGAAAAGAGGTTTTGTGACATCAGGTTGCACCGACGGGCCAGCAGGAACTGCAGGTCTGGGCAGCACGCCTGCAGCAGGCGGGAGCTGAGGCATGTGAGTGATGGCTGGACGGGTACCCATTGGAGGAGGAATGCCTGATACCAGCAGAACAAATGAATTCCATGTGTGCAAACACCTCACTGCAGTAGTGTTACTTAGTATTTAAAAATATTAAAAAGAAATAAATGAAACTGAGTTACAGAGATCTAAGTGGATCCTGAGGGTGTATGCTAACAGGGCATTACCTGGTGGTACACCGGGCATCATCGGAGGCATCATCCGACCCATTGGGATCATCCTAAATACATAAGAAAACATGATGTTTACAATATACAATATATATAATATATAGGGTTTGACTGATAGAAAGATTTGATTAAGAATGACAAAGATTTACCCTGGAGGCATTCCTGGCATTACAGGGGGCGTCGCTGGAATCATGGGTGGCACACCTGGCATCATCGGGGGAATTCCTGAAGCAAGTAAAAAAATTGTACTTATATCAAAACACACGTTCCTGCAACTTCATTATGTGCACCAGGGGAATAAGTCCCAATGG